GGGGGGGGAGAGGTCAAACAATCTTCAAATGAAATGAAATGTCTCCCGACTATAAAGAGTTCAAAGCAGGAAAGAATCACTGATCCTGAACAAACCCTATCTTCATGAACCAAGGCTGTTAAATTCAATAATTCAAACTTCAAAATTGTTTGGCCCATACAAACTTAAATTAATTGGCACTTTTTCTAGTAAGCTTACTGTAGTTTGGAGTCAAGACTTCAGATTTGTACCCACAAAAAAACTGCCTGCTGTCTTAAGGAAACAGATACTGGTATTTCAAAGTCACAAAACCTAAAGTGCAGATTAGAAGAGACAGAAGGGATAAGAATTAATAAATCCTTATCATTATGGTTACGATCATGTTAACCGGTCCATGTGTTCCAGAATAAAATATTACAAGCAGATCCATTGAACTAAGCATACATCAACATTAAGTTGGCATTGACTTAAGCTATTGTGCACGAAAAAGGCCAAATATACCACCTCTTCATCATTTCAATGACATTAAGTTGGACAACTGAAATAGCTGTAGCATATCAATAGAGTAGAGGATCTAATGACAATAGAGTGACAACAAAGAACCAGATCTTTTTGCAGTCAACATGGAATAGTTGGATACATACAATGACAATAAAGACCTACCACCATCAATGATGATCATATTGATGATATATAAACAAATGCTCATTCAACTATAATGATCTAAGGATGGTCACAACAATGATGGCAACAATTATCATAATACACAACTATCTCAGAACCTGCACCAACACAATTCTCTTCAACCAGTGTAGTTGATTGACTCATGGAACTTATCCAATGAAGCAACAAATGGTACCACATGTAATCACCCGAGATGGCAGCATTTTCAGTTCAACCTCATATCTCAAATAATACGATATGAGCAAGGAAATTTGTCTTCCCTGTTCCATCTCTTTTTTTTTTTTTTTCCCTATACATATTATGCTAGATGTAGTAGAAGCTCCAAGCAAAATACCTTGAGATTGAGGAATAACAAGAACAGTTTAGACCCAGCTCCACAATTTTGCTTCTAACAAAGCAAGAATCCATATCTTTGAAACATTTGTTCCTTCTTCACTTATGAGTTAGCTGCAATATATGACTTAGCTGCATTGTCTATGATTTCATACTTATTCAATGGTGTTCCGGTAATTAACCATGTATATAGCAACCACAGTCACCAATGCCCCAATCAGTTGCAAAGGCGAGAATGTCTCACCAAGGTAAAAATACCTGACAATAAAACCATACTGTTCAGCATAAAGCAATATATTATAGTGGGTTTTTCATTTTAGCTCTGGAGGCACAAAGAAAGAAATCTAGGCAAATGCATGAACTTTTCTTTTCAAATATCTCTTGAATATTTTCCAACAGTTACAGATTTCCATTATCTTACCCGAAAATTGAAGCAAACATTGGGGTTAGGAAGGTGAGAGAGCTAAGCTTAGTCAAACTGCCTGCAAATGCATCAAAGCCAACAATCAATAAACCCTAAATATGAGTCAGTTGTAATCATTTTCTGTTCTAATAAAATATTTTCATGCTGTCAAAAAAATCCTAAATATGAAATACTGTATCTTAAAGGGTATATTTTAGTTTGATACTGCTTATAAATGGGCTATTTTTACTGCTATATTTATTTATTTATTACTGATTGTTTAGTTCAATATTTAGCTTCTTATTGGATCTTTGGTCTTATGGACCTTATGGGCCTTGTTCAGTATTTGTTTATTGCTGCTGCCTAATCAGGGACATAATTGTAACTTTCTTTTTTCTTATATTTCAGTTAATAATAAAAGATACCAGGCGCATCATGACACCCACAATTTGAGTGGCTAATCTTCAAACCTTCTCTCTTCTCTTTTTTTCCTTCTACATTTATTCTTGTGCCATTCATTTTTTTATCATCAACTAAATTCAGATTTATATATTCAACAAAACAAGTTGGTATGAGAGCAATCAGTCTTGGTAAGTCTACATTTCTCCCAGGAGAAACTCATGCAGACTTAGGGATCAATGAACCAGAGATTTTTATAAGCCTGGAGGACTTCTGGCATTGGCACTTGGGCGTCTCTAGAAATTGGCTAATTTAGAGTGCAGTTTTGGTTAGGAGAAGATATGAAGCCTCTGGAGGAAGCAGCTCACAGAAATCACCATTTTTTTTTTTTTTTTTGATGAGTACAAAAATCACCAGTTATTACTACCTATCTACTCTGATATTGAATAACAGTTAAAGAGGAGGGGTGTTGCTCTTGCTCTCTCAATTTTCGAAAAACCATCTTCACTAAACCACTAAAACCACTAAATAACAACCAACTTGGTATGAGAGCATTGTAAGCTAAGATTGAGAGTTAATTGTTCATCCTGAATGGGCGGCTGGCATCATCTGTATGGTTTGATGGCATCAGCAATGGACAGCTCACCTCTTTAGGGTAGGAAAACGGGTACTAGAGGATGGACCTTCAACCTTGATTTATAGACTATAGAGTCTTCCAACATAGAGTTTATCCTCAATAAACAAACGTCAGTATTTTTTCAAGATTTTCTTCTGAGAAAATGGAAAAAAAATCAGATTTTCCTTTATACAGCTCTAGACTTTGATTGAAGTGGAGTGTTTTCACATATTTTTCTGTATCACCATCATGTAAGCCTTGTCGCAACTATATGGGGTTGTCTACATGAATCCTGTTTCACCATTCCATTCTGTTCAGAGCCATATCCATCGTTAAATTATGGGCACTTAAATCATTTCTTATTACTTCCATCCAAATCCTGTTTGGTCTTCCCTTTGCTCTTCTAGCCTCATCAACTTGTAACAGAACACTTTTCTAACATGTGCTGTAGATGGCCTTCTATGCATGTGACCAAACCATCTCAATCAGTTTCTCTCATTTGAGGACAAGGAAAGTGTTTTCTTACAAGATCTGTGATGCCGAAGCAATAGGACCCCAAGCATGAGAACTGGATGCAGGAGAATCTCATTTTTTAATCATAAATGCAGGAGAATCTCATTTAGGACATGGAAAGTTGGTTTTTCTCCAAGCTTTTTTAGACAGCTGAAAAAGAGGGGAAGAGAAATGTGGAGAGCTGCAGGAACAGCAATACTTTGGACAGTTAGGGAAGAAAAAAAAATAACAGAATTTTTAAATGGCCAGAAAAATCTAAGTAGGAATTAATCAATTAATTGACTGCATTACCATCAAGGTAGACATTGGTTAAAAGTGCTTGAGCTGTTCAAGGAGTTCTCAATTGATGATATTACCAGGGGATGGAGTGTAGTGACGTGTTCTTCAACGTCAAAGCCTGCAATTCAGGAGAGTTGGGCTCCATCAGTGCAGCAAAAGTTGAACTTTGACAGAATTTAACTTGGTAACCCGGGACCATCGGGTATAGGGGGAATCTTAAGAGATGGAGGACAAGCCTTGGCTTTATACTCTGGACCAATAGTGTCAGAGATCACTAAGAGCTGAAGTTTTGGCCATTCTCTGAGGGGGATTCCAAGTTGGTGATAGGGCGGATGCAAGCAAATGAGTTAGGAATCTGGACAAACAGACAGACTGTGAGGAAAATCAGGTGTCTAACAAAAGAGATTAGTATAACCTTTAGATGAGTTAGAAGGTCAGCCAATGGATTGAATAAAAGCTACTGTTTCCAATCCAAGAAAAAAAAAAGAATCCCATGGTAATGTCCTAGTTAGTTAATTCTATGCAATCCCACCTTAGTTGATTTTTTTTTAGTTGAAAACAGAAAAAGTGATTCGGATGGTATATGCTTTGTAGGACAAGTGGTGAATCTACTGCTCATTTACTAATCTCCTGCCCACTCATCTCTTGTATTTAGGAGTATGTATTTTCTTTCTTTGGCATAGGTGGGAACCTCTAGATCGCATTATTTGAAGACTCCTTTTTCATACCACCAAAGAAAGGAAGACTTTTATAGAGTTGCGCTGGAGATTCTGTACTTTGGGCTGTGTGGGGTGAGAGAAGCATAAGAGTCTTCAATGAAGAAACTCATCAAAAAGGAACTGTTAAAAGAGAACATGGTATCCCCCTCTCCCCACCCAATGCTCCCCAAGATGGTAAGTAGGCCCAGTTTTCATTTCAGAACCACCCAATTACAAACACTGAGAAACTACCTATAAGCTCCTCTACAAATAGGTAATCATCTATATCCCAACAAGTGATAATCCCCCTCTCCCCACCCAATGCTCCCCAAGATGGTAAGTAGGCCCAGTTTTCATTTCAGAACCACCCAATGCTCCCCTAATGTTCCTGCTCATAATGTCATTCCACCAATTTTTATCACCTTTCTACTGTTCCCACTCCTATCTGGTGCCCCTCCTATCCACTTTCTCACACCCTACTTTGTCATAAGAAATATCAAATCTGTGCTTCTCTTCTTTTGTTTGAGCTTAGCATCAGTTCCCCCCTCCTCCTAGAATAAACTTTACTGTCTTAATGAGTGGAGACCTCTAAGCCCATCTGATTTGTAAAGGACTGTAAGAGATTCATTGGTTGGTTCTCAGATATTTCTTGGCAAGGTTGAGGAGAATCTATACGATCCACTACAGGTGGTTCCAACCCAATCTCAGTGACTCACTGCACTACTTGACTAGTTCAAGGTCTTCCTCAGCTTCAACTACTTACCAAAAAATGATCTGATAATTTCCCAGATCCTTTCCCTCTTTCCCTCACACTTCTTCATTCACAATTCATACAATCTCCAATTCCCAAATTTCTGTCCCTGATACAGAGAATGTGGTTGCTCGTGATTGACAGACTGGGAACCTGGAAAAGCTACAAGGTCCACAAACTGTGAGTGAGAGAGAACTAAATCACCAGAGTTAGAGATACCTCTGGGGCCCTGGCAAATTAGATGAATGTTAAAGGGAATTCAAGAGATTTGTTCCTATGCTCTGATAAATCAGGCTTCCACCCACCCTCAAAGGATTTATCAGCTTGTGGTTGCATCTGACTCTCAAGACTTGTGGCTACAAAGGCCAAAAAATGGCCAGGCAGTCTTCTATGACCTATTGCCTTCTCTATTTAAGACATAGTAGTGGCCACCTTCCAACTAACATACACCCTGTAAATGAACATCCATAGTCAGGCACATCTCTTCTGTGGCAGGCCTTTGGTGGGAGCACTCATCTCAAGCATTAGGCTTCACCTCCACCAATTATGATGTGTGAGATTCTTCCTCCCTACTGTCATTACTTGCGTCTGGTTGAATTGCATTCTGAAGAGAGTGTCACCACCACATATAGGTCCATGCTAGATTAAATGGGCAAGCACCCAAATCCATTGAAAAATCAAGAAAAAAAGAAGAGAATGAAGTTGGTTGATCAATTACATATCCTGTATAGACCATAGTTTTCAAGGCGCCAAGGTGACCCTAGGCAACAGGTGAGCGCTTAGTCGCCTAGTCACTTAGGCGCTTGCCTGGGTGTCAACCAGTGTATCAATATAACCTTGCTTTTCCTAGTGTTTCAAGGTTTGTACACTAGTGCTTCAAGGTTTGTTTCTTAGAAATAATCCTTCCATTCCTAATGTTTCAAGGCTAGTGTCTAAGAAATATCATCCCTAGGAAAAGAAGGGACTAAACCTTTGTTTTTGTCATAGAAAAAAGAAAACAAATCAGAAAAATAAAGAAAAGGAAAGTCGAAGAACCTGTTTTTGTCTCAGAAAAGTGAAAGCAAAAACCCTAAAAAATGATGAAGGAGAAGAAAGGGCAAAGCTCCTGTTCTTGTTTCAACCAAAAATAAATGTAAGAAAAAACATTGAAAAAGATGATTATGATGATGATCTGGCGGAGCCCCTGTTCTTGCTTCAGGAAAAATAAGAAAACAAAAGCATCAAATGAAGAAGGAGAAGGGGCATAACCCCTGTTTTTGTTCCAGAAAAGGAAGGAAAAGAATAAAAAATTTAAGAAACAGTGAGGGTTATTTGTTGTTTGCAAGATGAAGTCATCATCCCATCGATTCTGGTTTCTCTAGGTGTTTGACCTTCAAGTCTTCGAACTCTTCGAACTACTCTGTATCATTCTAACCCTTACAATACAACAATCTAACAAATACACATTGGTTTATGATGTGGGAATAAAGAATGTTACGGTGTATCACCATCTATTTTAATATTTTGAGCTCAAAGTATAAAATAGAAAAATATTATAAAATAATGTAAAGTATAATACAAAAATTAGTTGGCGTTTGGGCGAGGCGAGCAGTAGAAGTGCTTAGTTGCCTAGGCAACGCCTTGACAACTATGGTATAGATATCCGATGCCATGTTGTGAGCATTATTTTTAAAGGTGTGAGAGGTGTACACCTGCAGGCGAGATGCCCCCAAAATGCCCTAAGGCATAGGCTAGAGGCACTGACACCTCTGAGGCATACGCCTCAGGTGCAAGAGGCGCACGCCTCATATGCTTTTTTCATGAGGCGTGCTAGAGGCGTACACCTCATGGGCCTCCTTCCTCTTCTTCCTCCTCATCCCCCTCCTCTTAAGGAGGCTTACACTTCCTTGTGTTCGGGAGGCTTACACCGCACACCTCTAGGTAGTGTAACACCTCATATCATGCCTCTGCGTTTTAAAACATTGGTTCTGTGAACATATTATTAGGGTAAAATGTGGGATCAATTACCACAACTAATTGCAATTGAAATAATATGTATGTGCAGCAGAAAATATAAGCAATTTTCACATTTAGTTAACCCTCCTATATTTTTTCTACTTTTCCACTAGGGGGTCTACTAACTTGGAGTACTCGGTTACAAATACCATGATAACAATTATTAGAAACAATACCAATAAATGAAAAGTCTACAAAAGGTTAAGAAGACAATTAGATATCATATTTTCATTTCCTTGGCAAAACTGCACCACAGAACCAAGGAGATGAAAAAAGAAGAAAACATGAAAATGACCTCTTGTTGCATTGTAGAAGAAGACACCATAGCTGATGGCACTTCCAAAAATGGAGGTGTAGAGAAGTGCCAAGAGATCATTCGATGTTAGTTCCTTAAAACTTCCACTGGTTGCAGGATCATGATTGAGCACAGAGATTGCCACAAGAGGGAGCCCACCAATAATCATGTGCTGTAATGAGGAAAAATGTAAGCATGTTAGCCCCTTTGGTTGGGGATCATAAATAGACAATATAATTGAAATTATAAATTCTCCCTGCAACCTCTGGTAGGAAAACATTGTCTGAAATGCATATAAGTAATGAAGACCAATGGAAAGTTTTTTTTTTTTTTGATAGATGATGTATAATTTGTATTAAAGAAGAGGGAAAGACACCCTCAGGAAAACATGTACATGATTACATGTATATCAGCTGTACATGAAAGAGACAAAATGTACAGTGAACCTTTTTCTGTAAAACAAAAGAATCATAAAAAAAATCACTCCCCCGATGGAAACAGAAATGGTGGAACCTAAAATACAACAACTTTTTGTGACATCTAGCCATCCCACCAAATACTGCTTTGCTTTACCCAGAATTGACTCAACAGGGTGTTCCTTATTGTCAAAAACCAAAGGAAAGGATTATCAAATCCTGACTTGAATAAATTGATAAGTATGACTTACCCAGCCTGTTGCCATGACAGGGTCAGAGTACTTCGAAACCCAGCGAACCATGACAGTACCCACTGCCATGCTTTGAGCTGCAAGGAGCATCCACCACTCCCCACTCCCCCATAGCGAAAAACTACTCCCTTCAAAATTAAGTGCAGGTACCTGCAAAAGAAACACCATGCCTCACAATGGCTCCACCAGAGAGAAGGAATATCATACAAGTGTCAAGCAACACAAACATTGCTGTTTACCACAACAACAAAATCATGAGACTGGTTGCAATACTAGGGGAAAAACAATAAAAACTTTGTAACATCAGTCCTTATAATATTAATATGTGAATCAGTGCATGCTTTTGATTTCATCAAAGAAATGAATGCCATTTTCAATAAGTTGATAAAAGTTTAATTTAGAGTTGTAAACTGGGAAAATGGGTAAAAGTCATGATAACCTTAATATGTTCTTTATGACTGCGAGGTGCACCAAACAATAAGAGAATTGACTCTACACATAAACAGAGTTTCAGCAGTAAAGTTGTTGATCCAATAAAGATATGTTCAGGTTAAGTAATCTTGTGCGTTTTCACTAAGAGATAGGTTGCTGTCAATGAAAGAAGAGAAGAAAGTGTGGAGAAGAAGAAGAGAGAAGAGAAGAAAAAATGGGAGCAGAGAGAAAAGATCATCCCCAATTTCTTTGATACATTGGGCAGAATTACAAGTCTTCCCCTCATAATGTGGCAGTGGTTATAACCATAATAAACAAATAAGTAAGTGGACTGGCCCCTACAGGAAAGCCCATAACTAATAAACAAACAAGAAAAAAGAATAAACATCACTCTTTTCTACAAAAAGAAATCAAACTACTCATAATGCAGTTAAACTAGTCAATAAGAAATGGTATACCTGCAGGTCCGAAACAGAAGCAGAAACTTTCTAGACACCACAACATTTATGAACCACTGAGACACACTTTTAATAACTAGTATCACTACTTATCACTTTCACTTTCTTAATACTCTGCTATAAATGTCCTTCCAACTTTTTGATTGCCAAATGATAAAATGACATACAACAATCTTATAGCTAAATCCTACTCCTTAGAATAATCTATATCAAATTTCAACTTCTAATCTCCAGCACCAACACAATTATACAAGTATTGATAATAGGGAGTGTTCAACAACATGGTTGGTTGTGGTTTTGAAAACAAAAACAACTGCCACATCAGCAAAATGATATTGTTTTTTTTTCTGATGTGGCAATTGTTTTTGTTTTCAAAAACAAAACCAACCATGTTGTCGGACACCCCTATGGTTGATCTAAAATTCCTCATTAATATTCAATAGATAAAGAAGGGCTAGAGTTCAAACTAAATCCTAAAGTTTAGATACCTGCCAACTAATAAAGAATATACCGGTTTATCAGAAATATACCTCAAGAAGTAAAAGTCCTATGACACCAAGCACAAGTCCAGCAGCTCCAATAAACCCAATGGATTCACCAAATAACAAGGAAGCAAGTATAGCAACTGTCAACGGTTGTGAATCGATTATTACCTGCATTTTTCATTTTATTCAGCTGGTAATTGTTTGGAATCACAAACTAGATAAAAATACCAAATATTACAGGATTCATACATTGGTAAAACCAACATCAGGTCAAAATAGCAGATAAAATAAAAGCATACAATCACTGAAAAACATTAGCTGTTGGCTGATGGAAAATTGAAAACATGAAAAATATTACTTACGCTACCTAAACCAGCCGATGTTTTCTGCAAACCTTCAGCAAGGAATCCCTGTACAAATATTAAAAAGATCAGAACCAGAAAATCAAGAAATGTATCAGTCAGGAAAGGATAAGACCCAGAAAAGAAAATGCCAAATACCAGAACACCCTAATAGTTGTAATTGCAAATCATTGTTATGTCTACCTCACCTGAAAACATGCAGCATCAACAATACCGAACAGAGTTATTGAAAACCAAGCTTCAAGGCCTGAAGGTTGTCTCCTCCCTCTCAATCCTGCAAACCCAATCAATAGCATCCCAGCTGGAATAAGCCGGAAAGCAGACACGAAGAACGGTCCAGCCTTGGGCAATACCTCCTTCATTGCCACCATAGCCGTCCCCCAGAAGAAGAACGGCGACACTAGAAGAGCCCAATCCAAGACCTTAGTAGCAAAACCCAAATCAAGCGTTTCCGCATTCTTGTCCTCAATTTCTAACGTTGAGCTGTTAGCCTGCAACAACTGATCAGTCTCGGAGTTGGCTCCCGGCGAATTGACGACGCACTCAACGTCGAGACCAGTGCCAATGCAGTCGACAGAGGAGTCCATTTCGGACTTTGCCCTGGTGCAATTGACGACGGTTCTTGTAGCCCTGACCCGAGCACTGCTGAGGCGATTATTATAAGATGAAACCCCACTAGTAGACCTGAGGAGGGTTTGACTCGTGATGCCATTTCTTGATCTGGGATTCAGCAGAGGCGGATTTGGTGTACCAAAGACGGGAAGGTTGGAGTGGAGATGAAGGAAGGAAACGGTTGTAGCCATGTTCGTTTCTCTTGATTATTTTTTTTCTTTCCAATTTCTTCGTTCGTTTGTTTTTGTTGGAATGGAAGTTGGAACCAATGTTTGCGTTACGGACAGGTGTCCTTTTTTTCTTTTTTTGACTTTTTATTTTATAAACATTGGAATATTACAAAACTTTTACCAAAAAAAAGAAATATTAAAAACCGCTTAGAAAAAATCTCATCCGTGAATCAAGAGCATCTTTATATTTGTATATTTTTATAATTTTATTTATAGGAGATATCTTCAATGCACAGCTGCAGGTGTCTGTGAGCACGATGTTCGCACGGTTGTGTGAGGACTGTATCCGCAGATATAAGGTAGGTTGTTACATCCGCAATACTTATGTTGAGAGAGTGGTGAGAGGCCGGGAGGGGTACATCGTGAAAATGGATCGGATCCCAATCCGATTTCAGATCCGATCCTGTTTTGTGGGATTCGGATGTATTCCTATCAGATCGGATAATAGGATCTGATTGATCAAATTTGAATCAGCCCCTATCCGATTCGAGATTGTGTGTGTTATTTATTTATTTGTAAATATGTTTATACTGTATTTTTTGTAATTTTTTATATTATTTATTTTTTTATAAAAACACATGTATATATATGATGGAAATAATTAAATAAAATACTTGTATGTTTTGTTTTTCTTTATATAAACGGTTATATATTTTTTTTATTTTCACAAATTAAATCGGATTGGATCGTATTTGGATATCCACCATTATTAATAGATTTAAATTCAAATCTGTGTTTGTAAGATCTAATCGGATCTTTGAAGCAGATCGGAATGGATGTTTGAACTATTAGATTGGATTCGGATGTACCTCGGTTCGAATCTTATCTGATCTGTTTGCATCCCGCCCCAGCCCAACGCACCCCAGCCCATCCTAGCCATGTATTGGGAACATCTCCCATGACAAGTATGGGAGATATTCTCAATGCACGCTAGGATGTGCATATGGGGCGCCAATCTGAACTCGAGCAAGGGACCCTTCTTTGCTAACCAATTAGCAACTTCTCTTGCTTGTATTTGATCATCAATTTGTTCTTTGATGGATCTCATAATAATAATCGAGAAGAGTCCCTAGGTTCTATGGTGGATCCATTCTTCCTTGTAGACTCCTGATCACTAGATGTGAATCTTCTTTCATAGTGCACTTATTTTTTATAACCATCTTTTACCAAAAAAAATTGATAACTATCATGTACTTATAATTCTTGAACTTTATGGCCATGATGGGCTTTGCAGATTGCTCAGGCTTTTGCTTGGCTAATAGTGCAATAACCACTGTCATTTTGACATTGAGAATCAAACCTTACTCATATCATCTCTTACTATGACACGCAATGCATAGTGACCATCTTCCCATCAAGAGGAATTAATTGTTAGATAGTGTATGCCCTTAGCTTCAATCAAATTAATGTATTTATTGACATTTATTATAAATGGATGAAGTACATAATCGATTTATGTTATTATGGTGTGTTTCTGTGTAATACCCTTAAACTGGACACTTATGAGACTTGTGTTAGTTTAGAATTTTTACAGCCGTTGGATGGACATGGGGAGGTTTATCCTGCAAAGGCTGACACTAATGTGCTACCAAGTGAGTTGGGGTGCCTTTCTCAATTGCCAAGTGGGTTGGGGTGGCTTTTCTCAGCTGCCAATGTGAGACCTGAGGCACATACAGTGTGGGTTTTCTTAAAACCCTGAACCGGACCGAATTCTAGTATTGCTCTGGACCTTGGAGATAGATGGGCAAAATTGGAATGTTACACCTGACCCCTAAATTTGAGTATGGTATTGCACTAGGTGTCCGATTAGGTTGTCTTTAATATGTCAATCAGTGAGATCCTCTTAGGGGCCTAAAACATGGGTATGTTGGGGCAGTCTGAGAATTCATCTGAATGGGTGATCATAGTGACAAAATCAGCCCCATTGCCGGACAAAGTGAATGATCGGAGAATGCACTATCTCTGATGGAAACCTAAACTGCTGGCAGTTGATTTCAAACTTGTTGAGATTTTTTTGCAAAATATATTTATATAGAGATATGCATATACATTATGGTTTTACAAAATGTTTGTAAAAATATTTTAATTCCCGGGATCCATGTGAGTGGAGAGTGCAACACTGTACCTTGCAGTCAAGGGAGAGGTCATCTCTTATCGGGCAGTGTTTGATCATTATGGGTTGAGAGGTTAAATGTAAGACCATTTAGGAATAATAAACCTGATGGGCTAATCTCACATCTACCTACAGTCCTTGGGCCTTCACAAGATGGCTGGACCCAAGGACCATTTAGTGTAAATTTTGGGCCCATTAAGAGCCCATACTGATGGACTCAAGGGTTCATTGTATTCAGCAGTGAATTCGGCCAAGCCTTGTAATAGAGGCTATGCTGAACCCATGTGGCTTATATGGAGATCAATGATAGGGTCCCATGCCATACAAAGAGATCCAAACTATCCAGCATTAAAGGAAGTGAGTCTGAAAGCTTAATGGGCATAAAGCCCATTTCGAACTAGGTTAATTGGATTAATTAAATAGGGGGCGAATCTAGGTATGGATCAACAAGTAAGAATAAGGGATAACTCTTTTCCACTTAAAGAGTTCAGATCCAAATAAAGATTTGAATTAGAAACTTCTAATTGGATTATGAGAAGTTGATCTTGATTTGCAAATAAGATAAGAGATAAGCCTTATCACTTAAAGAGTCCAGATTCAAATAAAGATTTGGAAAAATTTGTTAACACAGAGTGAAAGCCCAGCCCGGCCCATGAACATGTCTAATTTAACTTAATTAATTTAAGGTTTTATAGTTGATTTAAATTAATTGGATCAATTATGTGATTGTTTCATGCATGTGATGTATGATGTGTGATGTGCTACGTACATGGGCCATAAGCACTTAGCCCATATTCATTTGTTAGTGACTCTCTACGCACACCATGGTTGAATGCACATCATTTCCATGGTGCCCTAAAAGATCATTGGATGATCTCCCTTCTCAATGGGCCCCAGATCAGCTTCCTCCCCAAGAGGAACCGTACGGAACTCTAGCCGTTTTGGGCCCATTTGATTATGACTTCAAGAAAGTCAGTGGGAGCCACATTGGTTTGACCTAAATCAGATCTAGGGATGCAATAACTTGTTCCCTCTAGATTTATATAAGTGCATGTGATAGGGAGATTCATATGATGAACTCTCTAAAGGCCTTCCATTATTAGCATGAGGATGAGCTTATTACTAATAAGGAGATGCACCATAAAATTGGGCTATCCATTTGCCGGTAAGTCTGTTTGAATGCTTCATAAGATGAAAGGGGCATCATAGACCAATGTGGGAGGGGCTTATCCTAAAATGGAAGACTTTTTCACGGTACCTTGGCGTTCAGGAATATGACGGGTCTGCACATACTCGACATAAAGGTTTATCCTAAAATGGCAATGAACCTTGTCTGATAGAGGCCAAAGGGAAAGTTCATAAGATGAATGGATATGATCATTCACAAAAGGTGGTGGGGTTATGCAGTTGAAACAGTTGGCTTCATGCATTATATGTGATTTCCCACATTTCCAGATATATAATCGTGTCTCCGTCACTGAGATAGGAGGGAAATCTCAAAGATGAATAAATGGAAATGGATCATAGATTAAAAGCTTTTTCTATGTAACTAACATGAATTAATTTAGGTTGTAGACTAATAATTTGCATTACCTTTATCAAAAATGGCAAATGAACAGTTCACCAAATTGTTTGACGATAACAAACTTAGGGGTCCAAACTACGTTGACTGGTTCCATAACCTTATGTTGGACCCAACCCAAGGTCCAACTACGAGCTTTTTAACTGCAACAACTTAAATATACGCTATTGAAGCTGGAATTACCGCGGCTGCTGGCACHAGACTTGCCCTCCAATGGATCCTCGTTAAGGGATTTAGATTGTACTCATTCCAATTACCAGACTCGTAGAGCCCGGTATTGTTATTTATTGTCACTACCTCCCCGTGTCAGGATTGGGTAATTTGCATGCCTGCTGCCCTTGGCATCTTCCGCATCCAAGAGAACACACAACAGATATGTGCCGAGTGCATTGCATAATCACAAGACAATGCATGGCATCACGTTCTACGTGTTCATGGCTGCCTCACCCCCCACCGTGGGAGGAGAGAGACAAACTATCACTCGAGGGGTATCAATTCCATTTCTTTGGGTAGGCAACACAGGAACCATCCGCACACGCCCAG